ATCCAGTATCTGGAACAAAGGGGCTGTATCCAAAGTTATGGGACAGAACATTCTGAAGCCTCCAACGAAATGCAAAGAGGTCCATATAAACACAGCAACTGGTCTCAGTCAAATGAAGAGCTTGGGTTGAACAAATATAAGACCCTTCACCCCACAATAAGCAGGTGTAACCAGCCTCAGTATACTTCTAATCAAACAATATTGACGACAAGACCACCTTCTACAACTCTGCCTCTTTCCTCTGCTTTGCTCCTGTATCATTCTATGTGCGTTGACCATATTCTTCTTCTTCTTCACTCAGGGTGGATGTTAAGCACAATCCTCAGAACAATATTATTAACCAGAATCACAAGACATTGTAAACCCCAACACCAAAATGTTGTTAGCACCAAATTGGGCAATAAGAATCCCCATCTCCATTTTCAAAAGTTCCTGAAACTCTGTTCCATTGTCTGATGAGAAAACGTTTGAAGATTTAAGAGTAAAAGGAGTTGTGGGTGTCTCAGTATATATAGTATGTGGGATGGGGGTCAAAGGTTTGTTGTATGAGTACTTTAATCTCATACAGAACATACCAGCAAATAGGTTTGGTCCTAATGCATTGCTCACTCCAATAATCTCCATTCCTTTCATCTTTAATCACGTCTGCCGTGCAGGAGAACATCAATGTCCTCCTTTGGAGGTGCAAAAGAGCAGCTTCTGCTTTGGCTCATCTGTGAACACTCACAAGGGTGGGTCAGCTGCTCTTTGATGTCTCAGGCTGTCTCATGTTTCTGGCTGCTGGCAGTCATTTCTTCCCTGAATCACAGGATCTTGTAAAACCAGTAGGTGAAAAATTACCCACACAGAGCTGTATGAGTTATTTGCCTGCATTTTAACTCCAATATCTGGTCCCTAAGCATTCAGTCATGAGATTGTATTGCAGCGGGTGTTTTTTTTTAATTTGCTAATTAAATACCATGAAATACCCTCACACCTGAAGAAGGCTCCACAGCCGAAACATGTTTTCGTTCTTTTTGTCAGCATGGAATAAACCTATTACTTGTTCCTTTGCTACCATGGAATATGTAATAGGTTTATTCCATGCTGAAAAGAGAACAAAGAAAACGCAACATTTCGGCCGTGGAGCCTTCTTCAGGTGTGTTACCACGTGTTTACCATGGAATATGCTGTCCTCACTTTTTTAAAGTATTCTTTCCATGACAAGGAATGATTCTTCCTTCCTTAATAGGTTGTAAAAGCAACATGACACTCTTTCACCATAATGCAGTTTTCATTTGCAATGCAGACATGGGTTCATGTACGATATAGGTTTCCAGCTGCATCTGTTTAATCCACATGAAATCCAAAACTTCAGGTTATGCCGCAGGTTTCTCCCAATGAGCTTCTGTACTGACAGTGGTGCTTCATCACAGACCCGAATTCAGGAAAATGACACAGTAGATATTGGGAGGGGTGCTTATCTTTCCACTTTGCTGGCACAGAGATCCTATGGGAGACAGGCTACATATGTCCAAGTAAAGGCAGTTAACAGCAGACACCTGTAGATTTCCTCATGGGAGCCAGTATTACACATTCCATGATGCAGCACATTGTTTCTCTTTCTCCTGCACCGGAATACAAATTCCATTGGAGGTAAAAGAGGGAAAAGCCTGTTCCCAGATGGTTAATTTAACAAACAGCGCAGCGCCCCTGGTATTAAGTGTATCAGAATCGAAATCTTTTCTGTAAGCGTCACCAGAGGAGGATGACTCCTGAGTGAGGGCGATAGGAGAATGAGGACATCACAGTGCCCAGAATTCACCAGGGCAGAGCTGCATCTAGACAAAATGGGTTAGATTGGCAAAATGTCTCCATCTCATTGGTAATTGTCCAGGATTAGGGTGTAAGGAGCCCAGAACACTAGGCTACATTGCTGCCAAATCTAAAATTACATGGGACTGAAAGTCCACATATATAAGTACTTGAAGTTCTTCTGGCTTTGTCCTATAATGTGAACTAGTGATTTTACTTTACAACAGATATTAAGACCTACTCCAGTTATTTCTAGCACTTCAAGTCCTCAAGCCCCTTGTAGTTTCTAATTATTAACTTTGTCATGCTTTTTAAAAAATTCTTCTCCGATACTGTTGCCAGAGATATTCCTGCCAACTACTTAAAAGAGCTCACTAATAGCAGGCTGTTAGCTTACCTTTCAAAATATTTGCCTGTGGTCATATATGCTTTCCAAGATTTAAAGCTTTCTAAATAAGTTTTGGTTCTTCCATCTGACCTCTCCTTGATTTTGGCCACTTTTCTTGGAATATCGGGAACAGCAGCATACACTGTAACCCTTTGTGCTCTACAACTCCCAGAATCAAACTGCAGCACAGTTTACACAATTTGTTCCACTTTTTCACCCCTATCTAGGGTACAAAAACCTTTTTACTTCAGCTGTACAGTAAAGATACGGCTTACCAGAATGCGAGAGAAAAAAAAACTAAACTGAACTCTTAAGTGGCTCCATTACCAAAGGCACTTGGTCCTAATTTAGGTCGTGTTCTCTGATCCAGCCATGGAGAAGTCAAGTCGTGGCACCTACTGATCATGACTGATAACATAGATAAAATACTGATTTCAAATTCAAACACTGGCAGAAAACTGAAGTAAAGGATTCTCAGGAATTCTACCAGCACCAGGCAAAGGTGAAGAACTTCAAATGTTGATCTATCAACACAACACAGGGATAAGGACATAGAGTGAAGGAAAAGCTTTCTTACCACTGGAAACCTTACAAAAGCATTCATTCATACAGATGTGATAGATTATGTTCGAATTGGTAGGGCATCATCCTGGCTCAAGGATTCACAAAGAAATCTAGAATCATATCAACTAGTACGGAAGGAGGAGACACCAAAGAAAATGGGAAAGGTAGAAGAGATCTACCTTTCTTTCCTGATCTAGAGATCAGAAAGACTATTCAGACTCAGTATTAACCTAGGTAAATGATCTCAATCTGTATGGGTCAAACATGTCAAAATACCATCAATTTGACACTGTTCTATGAAATTAAGAACGTATGGATTTATATAAACCAAAAAAAGTTTATATAAATTTTTATGGGAGATTTCAACATTCCCTACATAGACTAAGATAAATCAGAAACCAAACAGATCTGATAAATAACTGCTCCTAACCTGTTTGCACTTCCAAGAAGAAATGCATGTGAAGCAAACAGAACAGACAAGAAACATCACAATACACGGTGCTTTATGAAACACAAAGGCCAAATCAAGTTTACAATTTCAGTAAAACAGACTTCGAAGGTCATGACGCTTAAGAAAAAATGGAAAGAATAGATGTAATAGTGTTGGAGAACAGGTGGCAATCAATTCAAACTGATTCTGTTTGAAAGACATTTATCCCAAGAGCAAATCAAAAGCTAGAAACAGTCTTCTTAAAATATTTCCTCAAAGTAATATTTGAGAATTATCTCTTAGAGACACACTGTCTCTGGTAACACTAAATTCAGACTTAAGCCCCCCACTTGCAAACAGGTTTGGAAAGTAGTTTCAGTCTTTGTAAACTTTGACATTACTTGATTTACAAAAGATTTTGTATCTAGAAATATGCAAGGCGACATTTTGGTACCAAAATGAAAACTGGTCTTTACACCCAATTTTTCATGCATTCATGCTGAAGCAATCGTCACAGGCTGAACTGAAAGCTATAAAGTGGCAGTACACTTCATTACACAAGATCCTTCCTTTCACATTTTGAAAGACCTCAGTCTCCGTCATAATCTGGTCTTCTTATAATTTTACAAAACGTATTCGCTTTTCTATTTCAACTTTATTTTGGGTACACGGAGCTCTGGATTTTAAAGAGGAAGTTTGTGGGATCAATATCTTAAGTTTACCTTTACAAATTTGCAGAAATAAAATGTGTAGAAACTCACCTTCATTAAAACCAATCAAATTTAACAACGACTGGTGTATATTCTAATGTCTTCTGTAGAAGAAATTTAATTTTCAATAAGGTTAAATTTATTATGGACTAGATTTTGACAAACTAATTTTCCCTAGTATTCCTGTTTTAAGTGCTATTAGAGAAGAATGTACTTTAAAAAATATTTTTGAAGGATACATTAAAATGTTTCAGATTGCTACTGTATGTACAGACCTAAAAATAGTATTGAAAATAATTTTGCGTTAGCACGTTTCATGTCAGAAAACAATGCCTTTTATGCTCAAAATGTACTATTTAACACTACTTTTTTCAGTCATTTGATCAATGTTAAACTGAATATTTACCTGATAGATAGACCTAAACTGTTGTGAAATGCATTCCCATGCTATAAATGAATGGTCACATAAAACTGTTTAAGACTTTGTAGAATTGAACTTATTTTCTATGTGCATAATTAAATGAAACCATCTTCCAAGTTCTATAATTTGTTCAAGACAAGATTGGCAAAGAGGGTAAAAACTAAAGAAACTACATAAAATCAGTCAAGACACTTATTCTATGACAAACTTCTTTCAGGGGGTGTAAAAATGTCATTGAAAATGATAATGCCCCAAAATAGCATTGCTTTTCCAGGCTTTCACATTGAAACTCAAAAGCTCTCCAATTTCAAAATGCATGTATGAACCCTTGTAAACAATTTTATTTTGGTATGTCATAAGTTCAAACAGGAAATCCTAAGGATACCAGATATCTTCTTTAAGGCTAAATATTAAAAACTGAAATATCATAATATTCTCACAACCATTAGTTTTCATAATGGAAAAATAATCCCCAAAAACATCAGTCCCTATAAGGTGCAGCAGGTCTAGACAAATGCTTGTGCAAACGAAATTTAACCAAAGGACTAACCTGTGCACACAAAATATCAAAGTGAAATACAAAGGACATCCATGTCTATTGGAAAAACAACAAATATTTTTTTGCTAACTGAAAGTTTTTGAAAGGAACAAAAGGCACAAGAATCTTTTAAAGAAACACGGCAGAACGCAGGATTAGTGTCAAGAGAAGTTAATTTCAGATTGCATCATACAAAGGTTGTAATATTGAAAACATTTTCAGCTTGGTACATTACACTTCTAGGTATTAACTTACTTTACATTGGTGAGTAGAAACAATTTTATTCTTTGCATATGTAGTCTTATCTAGGGCAGGCAAACCCGTTCAAAAATCTGTGATTTCATTGAATTTGAAGACAATTTGGAGTACTTTTTTATTTATTCACACATACATGTACAGCATGCAGTCAATCAGAAGTAGATGGTGGCATCACCAAAATCCATTCAGAGCCTTCAGATGTGCCCTTGCTGTCTAGGAAAAATCCAGTACCATTCTCCATTGATGGAATCTTCACGGTCTATCAAAAATTTAGTTACTATTACACAGTAATAAATGTCAGCAGCTTTCTTTTTAAAATTAATGCAAATAATTTAGTCGATCACCATGAATAAATATTAGTTGCTTTTTTTTCTTTTACTTGTGTTCAATTTCTAGATTTGAACAATCTGGGCAAACAAGCCTACAGTAAGCACTTGAAAGATACATTACAATGCATTTACTGTTCTTACAGTGAACAGAAAAGAATCTGGTACACAGAGCATTGTCCTGTCCAGGTATTTTACCAGAGCTGGGAGTAAGTTCTCGGAAAAGTCCAAAATGTAGCTTCAAGGCAAACCATGGAAAGACAGCTTTATACTGTATGTAACACTGCATAAATATCCAGTAAGTTAACACTGGATTTTATTCTATAAAACCAAAGTGTCTTTTTTTTTTTTAAAAGGACCTGGTTTTAGGCAGTTCCTAGGTGCAGGTTTATGTGAATAAGAGTTTTAAAGTGCTACAGACTGAATGTCAAATCCTCATCATATTGCAGGTTATTTCAACCCAATAGTCACTACTAAGAAAATCAGAAGCTGAGATTCAATATTTAATTTAGATTTCCTTTTCTAAAGCAAAGTTCATTCCCTATTTTTAATGAAGCCAATGTCCTGGTTTACAAAGGCTTATCAACACTGCACTTACAACTAAGCTGGGAGAATTCAGGTGTACAAGGCTACCAGGATGTAGAGATGTCTTCCCAAGTTTAAAAAATTAAAATAAGGATATGGAAATCTTGTATAGCTTTATTTTTCTTTTGGGAGAAAAATGATAAAAAGTGAGAATAAAACAAAAGAAACCTTTCCTAACTATTCATCATAACACCTTTAAATAACAAATTTTACTGTATAAAAGGACAGCACAGAAAAGATAAGCAACAATTTGTTCAATTAAAAGCTTCAGCTCAACTGACTAGCTGATCAGCAGCCGAAGCAACAAATCCATGCTCAAGGAAACGGGACTGAAAGGCTGAAGAGATCGGACTCAGTCTTCAAAGGAGTGTTTGCAATATCAGTTAAAAGCCCCCATCTGCCAGTCACACACTTCAACAAACGTGTTACTCAAGACCAACAACAACAGTCTGGCACTGAACATGCACATAACGTTTAAAAAAACAAAACAGAAAAAACACAGTCATGATTGGTCTTAAAGCCCTATGAAAATGGTATATTTGATAAAATTACCAGCAAAAATATGCCAAACCAAAATTAGCAACCCCCCAAAAATGACTACACATGAAGTTAACCTTCTACATGCAATGTCCACAAGTCAGTTATGGTGTCCTACTCATTTCACCCCGTTATCGATTACAGCCTCTTCACTCAAAAACCAGTTCAGAGAAGAAATAAAGAGTGCTTTTAACTCATGATCACTATGTATTAAAAAGCAAAAAAAAAATGCCATTTCTACGGCCCTTCAGCAGAATGTTGATTGATACCAACGCTGAGATTGAAAAAAGAAAAGCACACAAATGGACAATATCATGGACAGGACAAGCAAGTGTTCCATTTCCGCCTAACAAAGGCATTTATGTATATATGTATAGTATTCAGTAACAATGCAATAATATTTTTTATGATACAGTACATTAATTTATTGAAATCCTGGCAATATGGTATATTGTTAATTCCTAAGCAGCTTCCTTCTGTTCAGCTGGAGTCGTTTCCTTTCTCTAAAATTATCAAGGCCTTGGCTTCCACAGGCTTATGTCATGAGTGCGCCTTTCAGATAATCCATATATTACAGCATTTGTCCAATTTTCAGCCCCACATCCCGATACTCAAAACAACATGTACAGTGCTAATTCAACCTGTACAATGGGACAGTAGTGTTTTCGCTATCCGTTCAGTTCAAAACTTTTAACAAGCTTATCATATCTACTCAGAGAAACTTTTACAACCCCTAAAACAATGAAATGTACACAAATTAGTCTAGGACGTTTCTGCTAGGATTTTTTTTCCTTTTACATTTTTGAAAACCTGTTACATACATTCAACTTGGCACAGTGCAGACTAATCTTAAGACATGAAGGACAACAAACTGTGCAAGAAAACAGAGCTACACATTAAAGTCACCTGTAGTTATTTTGCAAGATGCCTAGATTGCACTCAGGATTTCCGTGTGGTTTCGTTTTGTAAGGAAAACAATCATACAGGAGAAAAATATCAGGGTAGAACTGTACAAGCCAGATATATTTGATATATATATTGAAAAATAATCCTGTGAATCCTCGTGGGACATTTTCACTGCAATGGAATGACAGGTTTCCTGGATCATATCTGCATCTTCCTCTTCGATTATGTTGAATATTCAGCAGCTGAAAACAAAAATATGTACCATTTATGTTTCATGTTAACCAGATACAGCCAATTCTACAGAAGCGCCAAAATAGATGTTTTAATGACACATTGTAGGCTTAGTTTTACATATTAATTACAACTAATTTGTGCAGGTTCCTATTACTACCAATACTATTTTTATTTTCTAGGGAAACTGTATTGAACCTTTATTGCCCCAAGGGAGTCTGTGTTCAGACATCAACAGCTCATAAATATAACATAATACAACAGTATAATACCATTATACGAAAAATTAAACAAAATTGCTCAACCAGAACTTAATGCCACACCATAAGATTAAAAACAGACAATTAGCTGGTAAAGTATCTAAAAACAACAGCAACATAATAAGATCCCTACTTCCAAACAATCTTTTCATTGTTCAACAACAAAATGCTTTTAGGTATAAATGACGTAAATGCTCTCTTAGGTCTTTATACAGAAGATCTGGTACCTCCGCCCAGAGGGTAGAAGAGTATATTCTAAAGAGTGGATGAGAGGGGCCATCTAAGATTTCAAGGTGCAAGGTTAATAATATGTTCTTCCGTTAGACATGTTACCGAGTCTACCGGCGCACCTTTAATCTTGCCACCAGCCCTGACCATTTTGTTCAACTTGTTCTTGCTCTCCTCTGATCTCTGTGCCCTATTGGTAGGTCACACATCCCCCCAGCTCATCCCAAAGATGTTCAGTGGGACCTACGTCTGGAGAGTAGGGCACCCATGGCATAAATATCACATTATAATCTCAAAAACAGCTACTGTTAACACAACAGCATGAGGGAATACAGTGCTGTCAGGAGGCCATCTAATGCCGTAAGCAAGAATTCTGTAGCAACCTGACACTTTTGACCAGACCACCATGTTTTGGATCTCTCCTCATCAATGCCTTGCGAAGCACTGGCTTTTTAAAAACGTACCTCTGTACCTGCATGTCTCTTTTCATGCTTGTCCTGTATTATTTGGCTTAACCATCTAAAATGTTATTCGCAACCCCAAAATGTAAACACCATCCTGAAAACCAACAAGGCAAAGTCAACAGCACGGTGGATAGGATAGTGAGAAATGGGAACAACAGAAGAATAATAGAAAACCGTTTAGAGAAAAAATGGAGAAACGCTTGAAGAAAAGAACACCCTGCCAACTGTCAAGCATGGGGGTGGATCCATTATGCTTCAGGGCTGTGTGGCAGCCAGGGGCACAGAAAATATTGTGCGGGTAGAGGGAAGAATGGATTCTACGAAGTATCAACAAATCCTGGAAGCTAATGTCCCACAGGCAGTGAAGAAACTGAAGCTGGAAAGAGGTTAGATATTACAACAAGACAATGATCCAAAACATACCGCAAAAATCAACTACAAATGAAAGATTAAGGTTTTGGAATGGCCTTCCCAGACTTTATATATTATTCAGACCTGTGGGTAGATCTCAAACATGCAGTGCGTGCAAGAGGACCTAAGAATATTTCTGAACTAGAAGCGTTCTGCAAGGAAGAGGGGGAAAAGAAGTCAGAAAGCAAGAATGGAAAGACTTAGCTAGCTACAAGAAACAGGAGGTGGTGTTTGAAAGGGTGCCCAAACTTTTGCACATGCCACATTTGCCGTTTCATTTTTTTAAATCTGTTAAATTCAGCAAATAAATAGGAGCTGTACATTAAAATGTGCAGAAAAATGTCAAGTTTAAGTTTTTTCACTGCATTGGTTGTGTTAACTTCTTTTCACTTAGAAAATCAATAAAGCATGTAATTTGGCCAGGGGTGCCCGAACTTTTGCATACAACTAAGTCCTCTACAACAAGGCAAGCTGTTATGCTTCAACAACAAAAAGCTCAGCTGCAAAGGATTATTTTGAACGGTTTAAGAAAGCATCCAAGAGTTTGCAAACAATTTAAAAGCCTGGGGCTGCTTGCATATTTCAGTGTTAGCTGCACCACAGATATTCATTTTCTTAATATGTAGTACAAATCTATAACACCACAGCTTCTCTACCGGGCACCATCCCATGCATGATTTAGGCCTTCCACTACTGCAGGTCGTTACATACCACCCACCTTTGCTGAAACCAAAGTGTCTGAGACCAATGTCTCCATCAGATGAGGCACTAAGGATTCTTCCACTGACACTAGGGGAAATTCAGGGCTTTAGTTCACAACTACACCACTGCTCTAAGTTTATCGCCTGCTGTCAATGCTTAATAATCTGTACTTGGGGAAGAGGAGAAACAAAAGAATGAAACAGAAAATAATTGCATAGCAGCAACAGGCAAAAGTTCAAGAAACCGGACAGTGTTCAATGTTGCATAGTTTTCAAAATCCATAAAACCTCACACTGACAGCTTCAGGTTTGTGAATATTTATGGGCATTTGAGCTGAAGAAGCTTCAAGCCAAGAATTCTGGCAGGACGACGGGACCTGAATGGGTAACTGAATGTGTTCTCTGTCGCCCGTTTCGACAGAGGCTAGAATGGCTAACCGGACGTATGACTGAAAATCAAAACTTTCCATTAAAGGAAATCCTGTTTAAAGTACAAAAGCAAATCTCTTAAAAATGAAAACCTGAAAAGCTAATAGAATAACTGCTGGAGTGTATTTTTATTCAAAATAAAGAAAGCCACGTCTGCTCCGCAATTCCTTCAGAACCAAAGGAATTGTGTTTCGATTAGGAGTTTTTGTTGCACACTCCAGCTGGAAAGGAATATGCAAAATGAAATTAAAACTTACTCCAGTTTAGTTAGGGAAATACCACTCTTGCCCTAACAAGGGCCGGAGAAGGATCCATCTTAAACTGGTGTAAAATGTCCCTATTATAGGAATAGCTGAACACAGCTGAGTGCTCTTCACTCAGCTTCCAGTCAAAGGGAAACGGAGCTCAGGGGAGGGATCTGGTGTATACCCACTTCTTGTCCTGCTTCATTCCTCCCCCTCCTCGGATGGATACCGTCTGGCTGTTCTGGTAGAAGTTCCCAGCGCTGCGGTTCACATTGGGGTGCGTTGGAGAGGCCACAGGAGGCTGGCCGGGGCGAATGGGTTTGGCTGAAACAATAAAAGGTAATCATTCCCACAGGCTGCCTCATTCCTGCAGTTCAGGCTTCACAGGTCAGCTGGACAGGCTGATTAGACCACTGCATTCCTCAAGCAGTACTTGGGTTGAAAGCCCTATTGTTTACTTTAATAAGCAATTGAGATCTGCTCTGGAAGGAGTACAATGATCTGTATTATACACACTGCAAATGTGAATTTCAGAGTTGCACAGCATGGGAATGTTTTAGACATTTTTAGGGGCCGCAGTAAAAGATGTCCTGAAAAACAATGCCAAAAAGACCTCGGGTAACAAAATCATTAATTCCTCTTGCTATGCTGATGTTTTAATTTAACCTGAACTTTGCACAATTTCTTTTTACTGGATCTCTCAGAAAAAGGCACCATACTGAACTTTATGGTTAGACAGCTGCACGTTCAAGTGGGGGCGTTAATAGTGTCCTGGCCACAATTCCCCCTGGCCTTTACCAATCATGACCTCCTAATAATCCCCATCTATGAATTGGCTTCACTACTCTGTTCTCCTCCCCACTAGCGTGTGATGAGGGTACTGTGCATACTTTGGCTGCCGTTGCATCATCCAGGTGGATACTGCGCACTGAAAGCTCTTTGGAGTGGAGTGTCCAGAAAAGCACTTTATAAACTAAAGGAATTCTTATTACAATGCACTAGAGAGGTTAGCAGCAACCTCACAAAACATTGGTAATATGTCTGGGGGTAAATCTCAATAAATGAGCTTAGCCCGTGCTGCAATGGGCTCCTCACCTATCTGCGCCGAGTGCCCCCTCCTGGCCATGTTCTTGGCGCGCACAGCGTCCTTGATGCGATCCACTTCCTGCTGGTAGCGCTTGCGGTCGCGAGCGGCATTCTCTTTGGCTTCCTTCAGCGCAGACTCCAAGGCCTTAACTCTCTCAGCTGTAGCCCGAAGGCGTTTTTCCAGTTTCGGAAGCTCGCAGCGAAGGTCTGCATTGTCACGTACCAGCTAAAGAAGGAACAGGGAAATAACAGCCACCTTAGCCAATTTCACCCAGATGTCTTCTAATCGTGCAGCTCGTAGTGCCTAAAACAACAACAACCTAGTCTAAAGGTGTAGTCTATGTGAAGTGTATTTGATTTCATGTTGCATCTGCTTTTAACTATACTTGTGTTTGTAATTCTTAAATTCAATTATGCAACCCTTTGTTATTCAAACTCTCAAACGATAAATCAAAAGTTCTTGTGGTTTCCTCACCTGTTTGTGGACCTTTGTGAGCTGTTCGAGGTTGTTCTCGAGAAAGGAGATTTTCTGTTTCTGAGCAGCGCTGCCACCTGTGTCATCAGAGTCCATCTCAGCACTCTGCAAAAGCAAAGGCCATTCTGTTAATCAAAGCAGGGACGAGCAGAGAACATTTCTGTCATCTTCATCAGTAAACCTGAAACAATTTGTCTGTACGCGTCTTACTTTTTCTTTGTGACTTACAAACGTTTTAGAACATGACATATAGCTTAAGATGAACATAAACTAAAAACACATTTTAAGCATTGTCAGGAAAGAAAGAGACAGCAGTTTTAAAGTATGCTGTTGTGGCCTATCAAACACCTTCACTGCAAATAAAGGCAATGATTTTTCTTTATTTACTGAATTAATCTGGGAACACCATAAGATTTATTAAAAAAATAAGTTGGAGGCTATGGCGAATGTATGTTTGAATACAAGTCTCAACAGAAGGTAATCAATAGATGCAACGAGTGGTATCTGATTGATTAAATATCAATAGCCAGGCATTGATCTTCATTGTTGGAAACAAGCACTCAAGGCTGTAGTTTTTAAGAAGCTGGCTCCACACAGATACTCGTCCCCTTGTCAAGAATATGGTTCACATTCCTCCACTACCTGTATGTCTTTTTGAACTTGTCCTAATTCATTATATAGTTACTCTGCAGCCTATGGGAAGAAGTCCTTTGCAGCCCAGTAAACGGTAAAACTTCAGCTCCATTGTTCCATGGATATTTTGGACTGAAAATGTGACCGATACATCATACGGTTTACTGGCACCAAACAAAAATTCTCAAGGACTTCCATTACTCAAGGATACTGAATCCATCCAAAGACAATTTTGTTGAAACATCAGCCTTGGGATGACGTTACCTTCTTCACTCTGGTAGCCAAATCCTGCACAAACAATTTCCTCAGATTGTGCAGCGTCTGAAGCTCTTTTGCCTAAGACAAAACAAACAACTGGAATTAAAGCAGGACACAACCAGAGAAATTCAAGCAAGAGGATTTAAAGTAACCTCTAACACCAACACCGCAGAATGAAGCACTCACCACTGTCTCCTCCAGACCCTTGAGATCCTGCCTGGCCTGTTCTCTCCTGTCCTGCATAACCCTGAAATGACAAGAATTTCCTAATAGTAAATGTTGCATGTTAAAGAATCATGACCTAACCCGCCTCTGTGTAATAGTGCAATTTTATGTCAGGACAAACAAAGCACTAACAATCTTACAATAAGCCAGAATACTAATTTTATGGAAGTGCTCCATAAAGGCTTTCAAATGGCTTGAGAAATGTTAACGACCCCACAAACGAGTAAGAGCTTTATAGAGCTCACTCTGCCATCTGTGGGGACAAAATGCAACACCTTCCCACTCTGAAAAACGAAACACAGCTTTGCGTGAACGAATGAGAAATGACAGAGCTCACGTTTCAGAAGTCACATTTTTGACAGAACTCCTCGAAAAGCTACAAACAAATCGCCGCTTTACACCATACTCAGCGATACTTCGATAATACAAAACTGAGTTGAGGATTGAGAATCCGCCCAACAAATCACCACGACGACAGCCCCAATGGAAGGGAAGTGCTCGTCAGCGGAGAGGCGGGGGGCCGTGTGATGGCCTCGCTCTCTGCAGAGGACGACGTACGTGAGCTCGTGCAGCTTGCGGCTCTTCTCCTGGTCCATGCTCTTCAGCTTCTCGTGCTCCACCCGTAGGCGCTCCTGCTCCAGCATGATCTTCTGGTTCAGGCTGGGGGGGGGGGGAGACAAAGGCAGATGCCCAAATTAAAAAATGGCACCAGGCTGGAAACCCCATAGAATTTACTACTGCAGCTCCCCACTCAAACTGCAAAGGTGCTCGAGATCTGCAATGGTGAAACGTCAAGGCTGCACCTTACCCAACACTACCTCAGCACCACACTGCACGCAGCAGCCGTCATTACTGGTATAGATTTAAAGTTCTGAGCTCCAGCACACACGGACACGATACATCCTCCCATTCCCATTGCCCTAAAGCTAAAAAAAAACAACCTAACATTCATTTATTGATTTAATTGCTGCTGAATAACCCTCTTGATCAAAGTGAAAATGGTCCAGAACACAGGGGAGAGTGGCTTACTCCTGGAGCTCAGTGATGAGCTTCTCCTTCTTGTCCAGCTCGTCACGGAGGCTGCTGATCTGTTTCTGATGAGCCTCGCGGTGACTCTGAATCTGCTGCTCCACAGCCTCCTGCACACGGGAGGGCAAAAGTTACTTCTGCCGTTTCATTAATAACATCTGCACAGGAAGGGCACGAAACCACTTAAGACTAGACAAAAAATATTTGTACACCACCCACGAGCTATAATGGTCTCCAAGGTGCTTGGAAATAAAGCACTATGACTATTTTTGTAATGGCAATATGTATTTGAGCTACATTTTAAGAGATGAAATTAAAAGTTAAACACTTTGTGTAATCTGTGATGTTTGTATTCACTTAGAAAACTCTGACAAGAACACAAATATATTCCAACAGGGTGGAAAAATGTACAACACTTGGAATTCAGAAAGAACTGGTCTCGCACTGCTCAGTAAGAGCAGCTGGCAGCTTGCTGTACCTTGACTTCATTGGCAGTCTGAATCTCATTCTCTTTCTCCATAGCGTGGACCTTTTCTGCAAGACGAACGTAACGGGGTTATTTAACCACTAGGAGGCACCATAGAGCTAAATGAAGGCACAGTAAGTTTTTACAAATGTATGCTATTCATTATCAAATAAAGTTTATATTAAGTCTCTCAACACATTTACATTCTATTCAAACAGGTATTGGATATTTTAATTTCATAATGCCAAGTGTGCCAAAAATTATTTATCCCCTGGCATTTCCATCAGGGAAGAAACACTCGTACATTCGATATACACCTAGCACCAACATGTCATTAGGATATGACTAATGTTAAATATTCTAGAGCAGGCATTGAAATTCCTGTCAAAACAGCCACAGAGCCTCAGGTCTTGAGGTACAGGCAGTCGTACCCTGTGCACTGAGCTTCACCAGCTCCTCGTTAAGCGAGTCCACGGACTCCTCCAGCTGCCTCTTCTTCTGCTCCACATTTTGCAGGTACTCGGTCAGAGACTTGATCTTGGCTTCGTGCTGGAAAAACGACAACAATCGACAGTGAGGAAGTTTCTGTGATGCTGGAGAACAAAATGTCGTCATTTATCGAGAAGGGTACTGCGCTGTGCACAGATTAAGGGTAGTCCAGATACTGAAGTTCTCTGATGACAGTAACACGCCTATAATTTACACTCTTAACACCTCACAAAAACTTATACTTGGTCTGTTTCAGAATATATATGGACTGTTTACATGTTTTTCCGGCCAGCAAGAGTGCCACAACACGGGTCGGGGCTCCATCTCGGAGCAACAAAACTTGAGGCCCTTCTGCGAGGGGCCGAGCTCTCCTACTCTACCTGGGAGATGCGCAGCTGACAGGCAGCCAGCTCCTTCTCGTTCTCATCCATCTTCTTGTTGCTCTCCGTCTGGGTACTTTCCAGCTGTTTGCAGCGCTTCACCATTGACTTCACCTCCGACTTCATCTTGCTGATGTACAAGCGAGCCACTGTGAACTCCTCGTCGATCATCCCACTCCCCTCGTGTTGCTGCTCAGACAGAAAAGAACAGAGCTCCAGTAAACAACTCCATCAAGGGTCACGCCTTATTTCAGCTTCAGTACTTAGTGCTAAACATCAAAGCAGAGATGCAAATCCTGTTCGATTCAGGAGTTCAAAAGTAAATGCAGGTCTACAGCTTAAGTCTTAAGAACTGAAACCCACACAAGCACTGTACATTACACTATCATTTTAAAACCACAGCAAATGCCCCAACCAATAAAGGTGCTCACTGAGAGTCCTGTGCTAGCGGACAATCCAGCATTCCTCAGTGGTCAAACCAGAAGGCTAGAAAAAATTAACTCCAATCTCCCATAAGGCTCCATTTTAACTCCTGCATCATTTAATCGCTACGTCAGCAATTTACCAAACGCTATATACTGTATATGCAGTTGACTGATTTCAATACACAACAAATAAAGCTGACTGGGCAGGAACTGTCCTTCTGACTACAGCGAGAACACCCTAGACAACATAAGGCTCATCCTAGTTTTAATAACACAGCTCGATGGACCCTCCTGGAGTCTGTTTCTAAAACACCCAAACACACCTCCGCTACTACGCTTGGAATGTCTACTCCGCTAAGAATAATTTGTGCCAGTATAGGCACGGAGCACCCACACTTAGGTCGGCCTCACTTAAACTGCATTAGAACTTCTAATGGAAGATGTGATGTTGAACTCTTCCAATGCAAGACAAGAAGTACCCTGGATTGTGACTGCAACTCTATGCCACAAGCCACAGAACACACATATTCCACTGATCTGATGGATAAGATCAGTTAAGCAATGAATTATTGCATCTCAGAAACTAGATACTGATTATTGGAAACTAAGCCAACGCAATATGAAGACTGTTCAGAGTGCAGGTTGAGCCTATTGCATTAACAGCCCTTTACATGCTAGGCACCTTTGAGCATACAGAGAGAGCCCCAGTCAGGAGGAACTCTGCTGTATGCACTGAGGCAATCAGAGGGTAGATACACAGCAGGTGATTCTTAAGATTACAAATGTCCTCCCCTCCCTCATGCAAGTACTAGGAATATAGTGGTATGTCAATGATTAACTATTTCCAATGACAAGTTAGAAGTGGTTAAAAGCTGGAACATGACAGGTTTATGTGAAAGTCCCTTACCTTGATATCATTGCTTCCTACTGCAATTCCTATTTCTGCCAAGTCCTTGAGAAGTGATGACATCATTTCTGTGACCCTCTTCTTCTGATGGTTAGTCATTTCCTTAAGCTTCTGAAGTTCCGAGTCTATTGATGCCAGAATGCTCTAGATATAAAAGGGTATCAAGCGTGAATGTGAATGTCCACAAGTATTATAGGTAGGGAGCTGCGTCAGCATGCGGAGGCTACAAAGGAACAGGTAAAGATTTATTCCATGTTGGAAGGGAAAAAAAAGTCAGTCTCAGTTTAATTCTATTAACAACGATGACTTGGAACAAATCCTTAAAGCTATATCAAGTCTTGAATTAAAGTTGAATTGAAGTTGTTAAATAAGAAGGCCTCATTATCAGAGCGTTGGATGGTAAAATATTTGTTTTCAGTTTGTTTTTAATATCAAATCCATCACCACAAGCGTCAGCACTCCCATACTGACACTGAACTATTACCAGCGCAGCGCACACACTGAGACATGACCCTCCTCACCGATTTCTGGTTAAGCTCTTCGCTAAGCATCTCAAACTCCTTGGTCTTGTCCTCCACCTCCTGGGACTTCTGGTCGTAGTTGACCGCCAGCTCCTCCAGGGCCTGGAGCACCTCCTTCACCTCTTCCTTGGAGGCCTCGTTCTCGGCTTGCAGCCGGTTCAGCTCCACCTGCAGGTTATCGTGATCGCGCCGGGAGGAGGCAAGCAGCTGTGGACAGGACAGCAGAGACCGTGAGAGGTCACAATGGAATCATACAAGCACCTAATAGACACTTTGCCCTGTATACTTAGTTTCTTTGAACATGCCTCTTGCACAGAGCATACCGTCTTTGGAGTAGAAATGGTATAAATTCCAGCCAATATGAAACACAAAATATCAGATCGGCAAGTGACATTTTTCCTAATTAATAATCACAAGAGTTCTGAAATGCACTGTTTTTGCTCAAATGTGTTATACACCGATGACCACAAATACATTACTCTGGTCATTGCAAACAAATCCATGGTTTGGTAAAACTGAATATTTAGTGACGAGTCCATTTAACCATCATAAGAACCAATCTTAAGGAGTTTGATAGCAAAGACCTGACAACATATACAAAACTCTGCACAGTGTTTACTGTCAATGCTTAGCTCTCCACAGTCCAATTAAAACCTAATAAGTTACATTCTAGCTCTTAAGACTAATCTGATAACATTAACTGAGTGATAATGTGAGAAGTAAATCTGTACTTCTAAAGAAACCAATATGCACCACGGGTGGTGCAACATTAACTACAGGCTGGTTAGGTACTGTGATCAAGCCTGCAGTGTCTGAAGCTCACGGTTTAATACTGCTACATGGCTGCACATCAACTCCATATCCCCCCCCAGGTTTATAAAGAGCCCAGTGGGCAGCCCACCTCCTCCTGGTCCAACATCTGTTGCTTCAGCTTCTCCGCCAGCTGGCTCTGTTGGTTGATCTCATCATCCTGCAGAACAGGAGAAACAGGGCTTCAGCTACTAATGCTCACTTGAAATACCTTTCACATTACTGAAGGTAAAACACAGGTGAGGGTTTTCAAAGACCAGCACCAAGATGCAAGGTCCCACAAGGCCCTACCATTCATAACATTAACCATAATCAATTCAGAAAAGACTGAAAACTTTGATCTTGTAATTTACATTGCTACTATATTAGATAATGGTCTCACATTAGGCAGCCTCCTACCCATTTGGTTAAATGTTCACATTTATTTCCCTTTATACCCAGCAAGTGATCCAAGCAAAGCCCCCCCCCAATCATACTTTCTACTTAAGATCTGCATCAGGTAAAACCAAGGCTGTATTCAATGAATCACTTAGCAACAAAGTACAAAAGCCATTTCAAGAGGTAACATACCTTGTCATCTAGTTGCTTGTAGAGTTTAGCAATCTCTGTCTCATACTTGACTCTTTCGGCATCAGTGAATTTAACCGCTGGGAATCCAGGGGAAGGAGCTGGCTTGTCATTGTTCACAACGTTGTCAAGAGCAAGAACCTCAGCATTGGCCTTCTCCTTGTCAAACTGCTCATCAACAGGCACGCTTTCACCTGTAGATTGAACCACACACAAATTGTCAAAGCTAAATCCACATGAACAAGCGCATAAGAATTTTTTCTGAAGATACTTTACAGATCAACACTGTGCCCTAATTTAAAAATGAGTTTACAAAACTTAATCACTGTAAAGTTTCTAGATAACCACGTAGCACAAGACTTCAGTCTACGTTGTCTCAAAAGACTAGGCTCATTTCCTTACGTAAACCTCTACACAGCAAATACAATACCTTACTGTCCGTTCTGACAAATAACTCACCATTCCGCCATCTATTTAGTTCATTTTCAAGCCACTGTATGGTGTTCCGTAAAGTCTTATTCTTGTCCTTTTCTTTTTCATACTTCTTCTTCCACTGTTCAGCTGTGAGCTCGACATTAACACAGACTGTGTTCTTAATCGTCTTGGCTCTGTCACACAAAAAAACAAAGAACAGAACTGAATCAAAACCCTTAAGGACAAATGTTAAACAAAAACTTCAGCTTACATTTGTTTTTTTTAGATTAACTTTTTAAGAAACACCAACCACTTGCTTTTTAAGACACGGATAAAAGTTTCAATATTCATTTCCTCACAGGAGCAACTTGCATTCAGTGAAATGGTAACTAAAGCCCAGACCTATAAATAATTAAGCAAGTCAATTATTAACAAAAACACCTCAGAACAAGAGCTCAGCTAGAGATAGGAGTACCAGCTAATCACCATGGCCTCACTCAAGTGAGCTACTCTCACACTTTTCCTAGGTGCGTCTGCTTTCTTTGAAGTGTAGAATGGATTTAAGGCTGGCTGAAGCCTTTATATACAACCCCTCCAAGTATGCCAGCTCATTTAGTATTGGGATAGTGCAAGCAAGTTAGGTTAGGTTTGTACAGTTTCGTAAATTACCTTTGACCAAACATCAGTGTGGACTTAGTCTCAGCTTCATTGTAAGAAGAGGGAGAGCAGCAGATAACAATGGTGGTTCTGCAGTTACCCCCAAGAGAGTCCTGAAGAATTCTTGTCATTTTACTGTCTCTGTATGGGATATAAGTCTGAAAAGCAGTGAAATGATTAGAAAGAGCAAAAGCAGGTCACCGGCACAGCTTGTTGATTAGGCAACTTCAAAACCTCCATTATTTGCAAACAGAAAATGTACAGTAGTCGCTCATATCTAACTAAGCACACAAATAAAGCACACAAGCAAAGTGTTTCCTAAACTGTGTGAAAACATGGCACAGACATTACAGCAGGAGTGATACAGAAGTTTTTGTTTACTGGCAAAGCATCTGACAATGTAACATGCTGAGGTTTCGGAGATAAATATTTCTCTGCACATTTCTATCTCAAGTTCTTTTCTAACACTTGAAAAGCAAGCAAATCAAAGAGGACTCAAGTATAAAGTGGGAAACCTTATCCCAAATACAAACTGGCAACAATTCACTCATTTTAACATTGCCAAAGACTTAAGATGCACTCACAGAGCCTTCTGCTAAAGCTGAGATGACATTTCCAAGTGATGACAAAGACTTGTTGATGTTTTTTGCTTCATCCAGCACAGCTCCCTCGGCTCCAGTTTTACTGACCTGCACATACGTGAACACAGGAGGAAGGTATAGTCATTTTCATTATCCCAGTCTGTAATGGATTCTGTAAATGCTTTGAACCAAAGTAATGGAATACATAACTAGGAGGGAAAGTAGATTTAGCTACATTATTTTAGATAATAATAAAAAAATGACCACTTCACTACAAATATAATTTATGGACTGCACCTACTAAGAAAATCTTTGCAAGCAACATCCAAATCATTTTCCAATAGCAAATTATACTATTAGCAGGGAAAATATAATTATATTAACTACAGTTTAAAAATAGGAACATTTTTAAAACTTAATGTTACTGCGATTCTAAAATGCAGAGCCCAAGAAAACGGATAATAATCAACGATATCTAATAATATTCAATGAAAAACTCCATGTTGAGAGGCAAAAGAAACATCGAAATTTTAAATCCACAAAATTATCATCAGAATTTCTTTTGTAGCAAGTGCACCGGCATTTAACCGAAGAGACGACATGGTTAAATTCATCATGCTGATCAACATTTATCAATGGGGTTGATAAACCAGCGTCTACTGTGGAAATCACAGTCTAGTAGCATGTGTAGCCACCAATGAAAGAAATATGACCGATTCATGTTTTACATCACTTCACAAATGCAGTCTTACTGAATTCTGAGTCATCTCTCTCATGCAGCCTGGATTATCACGTGCCTTATCACTGGTCTTTGAGCCGATGATGGGCTCATCTTGCAAGAAATTGGGCTTTACAGAAGGAGCTGGAGCATGTGCATTTGTGTACTGTTCCGCTGAGACGTCGGGCCAGTATAAACCCACAAGAAGGGCTGCAGGTGAAATCCCAGCACTTGATCACTGTAGTGCCATGTGGTCAGGCTGTCATCAAATTCTGCAAGCGGAGGTCTGCCAAGCTGACATTCCTGCCCAGACCATCATGTTTGGACTGACAATCAACTCACCTGTTTTATGTACCTATTAACAGATTGCACAGATGGCATGGCATTGGTCTTTTGATAACCAGTGCATAATGGTTCTTTGCTTTTTCCTTTCTTGATTTTTACCAGGTGTGAAATTAAGCATGATAAATCAACCCCTCAGTTCTGAGGAATTATTTCTCACAAATGAGGTGTCTCAATGAGCTATAAATGAGTGATTAATTAAAATAATGCCAAAAACTTTTAATCAATATTCAAAATCCATTTATGTTTTTCCAAAAAATGTTCATTGTTGTGTTTTCTTTTGAAGTTCAGTGTAGACATATATAGGAAAAATGAAAGTCAATTGTAATGCAAACCAGAAAGTTAATTACCTTCTAATTCAAAT